GGTTCTGAGCTTTGCGTTTGGTTGGCGGTGTATCTGTAGCTGGCTTGCGACCAGGCTTGGGACGTGGTGGGATTACCCATTCTCGCGAGGTGATGGAGCCGGGGGTACCCGGGCCCGGAGATGGAGCTACAGAGGGCCTGGCGGCTAGCGTGGGCGCCGGTGCGAGGGCCAGTGCAGAAACCCCAGCTGGAGCGGGTGCCATAGACACACTGGCCATCTTGACACCAAATTGAGCTTCAAATACTGTTTGGAGGTCAGTTGTGGGCAACTAATCGGGCGTAGTCGGGGCACACGCACGAGCCGTTTCTCGGTCGGAAGAGCGGAAGTGCGCTCATAAGAGCCGATAAGCGAAAATGACTAGTTGGAGAGAAAGAACGAGATTCCTTTCAAACTCTGTTCTGTATGAGATAATCAGATTGGGGATGGACGCATGGACACTCAAAGAGTATAGAAAGGTTAAAGAGAAGAGAGAGATGCGAAGGGAGGGGAGGAAGCCGAGAAAAAGCGGCCGATGATCAGATTAGATTATGTGCTCACATGATGCCGGTTTCGGACATTGAGCTTTCGGTTGTTATAGAAGTTCCGTTCTTCCAAGGTTGGCTCTTCTTTTTCTTTTTCTGCTGATTTACCATTGGTCTATTTACTATTTCGCTAAACCTAATCCTGTAAGGAGCTCCTCTTTTGAAATTTTTATCTGATCCGAATCTGAGTGGAGATGGTTCCGAGCAAGCGTTGGTGGGCTGACGCAACATTTCTTACTGTATGGAGTAATATATTCTCTTATTTTCTTCGCTAACTGCGTGTAATTGTTTCTTAGACGCAGCTCGAGCACCAATTGCTAGAACTTGAACCAGCAAAGGACAGTTGCAATGGCAAAATCCCGTCCCAATTCCTAACTGTGCACTTCATAACGTACTAACTTCCTATGCAGCTCACCGTTCTCCCGCCTGATCTTCGATGACTCAATGACAGGCGACACGGATCAAAATTCTCCAGTCAAAGTAAAATTTGTTCGAGTGGAGCGTCTCGTCAATCCATTGACCATGGGTGGGCGAGACGCCCCCTACTTCCGGTCTACCAGCCCTGTAGCCACTTAGCACTACCTAGTAGCAACTACCATCGGGCCAATGAGAACGTGCCAATGCACAAGGGAACTTTCCCACGAGTCATCCATCAGCGGTGAGAGTATGGAAGAGTATGGATCGACATGGGAATTGGAACCCGTTCAGCCGCCGTTCTCGGTCTCTCTGATCTTATCTGATTGCACTAACGCCGCTCTAGGGTCAACCGCAATCCAAGGGTTGGAGTAAATATCGGCAAACTTATCCCTCTTTCACTGCCGTATCTTTTTCCCTCTCTGGATGATTGGTTCGGCCTTCTGTGGAAGTGGTTGGTGGTCTTGGCCCTTGCAAATGCCCCCCCACATAGCAGAATCTTATCAATCAGTGAACCATGCTCGCCAACCTCATTCCGAGCGAGGGCCGAACAGCGGAACTTTCGTGTACATGGCCCGATCTGGAGAATACCGCCGCCAGTTAGTCACAGCTAGAGCTGCTTGTGACGTGCGTATGCAGAGATTGACGGTGGGAAAAGTGGAATGTGTGGAAAGAAATCGCCGCCATTGGACACGCCCAGTCTCGGCGGAAAATTCAATCCACTATTCTCAGTTATATCTTTCCAGTGTAAACCGACTTAATGACGCAGTCTCGTGATATTCTAGCAACCACCAGGGACATCCAATTTGCTCTTGATCTGCTGAGATGAATTCCAATATGGATTCTAGCTAAAGCTAATCAATGCCGGGCTTGTCGTTCGTCTTCGGATCTCTCAATCTGCAAGGGACATGAACTCTACGTTGATATCTAGAATAACTTTCAATTATCTAGTATTTGATTCATAAAATACCAATACTTTCTAGCGCCATTGGGAGTCAAAGAAGTGAGAACAGAAATCGCCTCTCCTTTGACGAGATCAGGTTGACCTTTTGCCACTGAACATTTCCAAGAGGCGGGTCTAGTATAGTGATATACGTCCGAGCGGAAATTATCACAGGGCTCATTCCAAATTGAGAGCTGTTCTCTTCAAGACGTTCTTCGACATTGATGTAACAAACATTCACAACTGCGTTACTCGAGGAGTTCCCTCTGCTGGAGGAGCAGAGTACTGGGTCTCCACAAAGACCTTCTGCATGCCTATCTCCCGCTTATTGAAACTCGCATACAATTTTTCCATGTCTTCCAAATGGACACGGTGGGTCACCATATCTAGCGGATTGATCTGGTTTGTCTCGATGAGATGCATGAGGTGCTTCCAATACTTTTGAACAGGAGCCTGCCCATTACCCATAAGGTGAACACCTGTCTGCATCAGAGCCCCAATGTTAAAGTGATTGGTCTGAGAGTGATTGTCAGATACTTCGCTCTTCCGAAAACCGGTGAACTCACGAATGCGCTATAGACACCTGTCACCCCAACATGACCGAACGGGCGAACGGCAGTGATCATCTCATTCAACATCTCTGAAGTGTCCGTCTCCAATCCAAGCCTCTGCTCGAAGTAATGCGCCCATCCTTTGGCATATTCACCCGATGCACACTCTAAAGCAACATCGGGTCCGCCCTCGACCATCTTTTTCAGCTGTGATGTCACCGACTCGCCTTTCGGTATGTCACTAAAGATGATCGTCTCGATCCTCGGTTCTTTAGTCTTCACGAAGTCCAATCGCCATGCACCGTCACCTCCATCGATAAGGATGACTCGACTAGCTCCATGGAAGAAGCTATACTGTGCGCACATCTGCCCAATCGGTCCGGCTCCCCAGATCGCAACAACATCTCCTTTCTTCACACCCGTGTCGACCACGCAGTTCCATGATGTTGCCATAACATCTGAGACGTAAAGTGCCTTCTCATCTGGTACATCGGCTGGAATTTGAAGCAAATTGACGTCTCCGTACGGAACTCGAACATACTCGGCCTGGCCACCTGCAAACCCACCTGTGAAATGGGAATAGCCAAACATGCCTAATCCCAATTTAGTATTAATCTCGAGACCCTCGGGGTCGGGTGAAAGGTAAAATGCATATCGGCCACTCTGCTCAACTTACCTGCAGTTCGCTTCCCATACAAGGCATTGGCCAGAGCATTCTCGTTGGTTCGTTCACATACAGAATAATACTCTTTCCGACAATTCCTGCAAGTCCCACAGGCAATCGGAAAAGCAACAACAACTCTTTCTCCGACTTTGACGTTCTTTGCCTCTGGCCCTACACTTTCCACAATTCCACAGCATTCATGGCCGAGCACGTCGCCCTTCTGCATCTCGGGAATGACCCCTTTGTCCGGCGCAGCTGTGTCAGTCTATCTGCTCGCTCGGATGATCGTGAGATATTTTCATACCGTGATACAGGTGAAGGTCGCTACCGCAAATAGTGGTGCCTGTGATCCTGACAATAACGTCTCCAGGGTCGATCACACGCGGCTTCGGCATTTTCACTAATCAGTGGTCAGCAATATACAAAAAGCTAACACCGGCAATTGCCTCCCTCGCTTACCAACTTTGACTTGGTTCTTCCCTTGCCAAGTAGTAGCCTGGATCATCTCTCCTGTCTCCATTCCATGTTCATTGGCGTAGTTAGACACGTCAGTGGTGATTGTCGCATTATTACCACGTGGGAGTTTCTTTTCCAACAGGTTTGCTGCCTGGGACATCGCCATTTTCAATATATTTGATGATACGTGTGGTTGGGATATAGCGAGTTTATGCTTTCACTGTCCTTGGGGTTCAATAGGAACTTCCGGCTTGGTTTTAAATACTAGGTTGCAGTATATGTAAAAATGACGAAACTTCCTGGTTTGGGGGTTTCTATCAACTGACATCACCATGATGCGGCATGCCAGATGCAGAGCCCATACATATGTTATCTATACGTACGGGATTTTCCCTGGCGTGTGGGGCTTTCCGCCTTTATGAGGGTCAGTAAGACCAAGCTCTTGGGAAACATCTCCGCGTACGTAGCAGGGCATTGTTTATTCTCTGGTGCGAACTATTGGCAAGGTCTTACTAGCTTCTACTTCTACTTTACATAGCCATTTACAAAATAAGGCCCGTCTATGTAATGTGATAAGTCATTGGGCAATATATGCAGTCTCAGAATGATACCAATGCTCCTAGGATATATTGCCGCTTAATGGTAGTGTTGATTTTATCGGACGCAATTTTTCTTCATTGGCTACGGACAACGAGGAGTTGCTGCAGCCAAAGGCACAGACCCCTGAGGGCTCCAATTATCCCGTTGCTTACCAGTGTGTTTTGGTCGAGATGCGGCATCTCTTTGTTACGACCCAGAGCGGACCGTGCTAACCCAGATCAGGAACCCGTCAAAGAGAGGATTCTGAGCAAGAATACAAACTACTCTGGGTTCGTTCCTTCGTAAGCTGCATTCAGAGGGGACAGACAAAATATAATGGCTTTTTGCGGCCGGCCAAAGTACTTGCTGCGCCGCAACAAATACGTTTCCATTGGTCAGCGTCAGTTACAAAGGCGATGCTCAATATTCTCGTCGGAACCAATCTCCCAAAGTATCTCTGATCTTCAAAGACTATGCTATTCCAACAAATCAGATGAAATGGGCTTTCAATTTGTCAAGGATACTTAATAATCTACAAGTACTCGGCTCATGCGGGCGCTTTGCTGGACCGAAAATCTCAAAAGAAGAAGAGTCAGAAGAAGAGTCGGGATACGTGTGTAGTGACAGTTTCAGTTCTCTATATATGGACGGCATAACTATATCATGCGGCTACTCGACAGGTATTTTTCCCCTTCACTCACTCACCACCGCCGTGTCTTATCCTATAGACTCTGGATCTATACAGAAAATAGCATTGATCACAACAGGATGACAACAAGGTTCTTTCATCATCGCAGACAGCTGCCAGACCGAATAGGCCAAGATCAATGTCGGAGGCTCCGTGGGTTGCCGTAATAACTAGTCGGGTCGCATTAATTGTCAAATAAAGATAGGGGGTCCTGGCCATGGTTATTGTGCATAACCCGAAGAGTCTCTGCGATTTGTCCATCCAACTCTCGTTTTCGGAAGATCGTGGGTTTTCTTTTCGATAAGCGGAGGACATAGACCGGTACTGGTGTCTTGCATTCATGGGCGGTTTGGTAGTCATAATCGGTGTTGTTTAGATCGACCACAAAATAGGAGTGTTTGCCGGGGTAGATTGTGACCGCAAGGAAACGAGTCGTATTATTCCTATTGTACTGATGGAGGCCGTCCTGCACCTCGCTGGCAAATGGACGTATAGATTCTAAATAATTGTTCGGATCAAGAATACTATTAGGAGTATCACCCAGTATTCGCATCGTTCCTGTAACAACGTCTGGGGGCAAGTCGAACAAGATCTCTCGAATTTGGCCTATCACGTGGCTGCGAACATGTTGAGTTGAGTCGTCCATAGCAAGGAAGAGGACTGATGGTATGTGACAATAAGTGGATGTTGCTGGCCTCCCTGTGCATATGTGAAAAGATGAAGTCTCGATTGAATGTGAAGGTGAAGTCTATCATTGCTTGTTGGGCGGAAGGATTAATGTTCTTCCGTATTTCCCCTAGCAGGAGCATGAAGGTTGGTCGTCTCAGCGACTGTGCGAGCCCCTACATAAGGAGTCAGACTTACTAGAACTAATCTGGTAGCAAATGGCGTCATAGGACTTGATTTCAGTGTATGCGATTTGTAGGAACTAAGCATTTAGCTAACTACGGTGTAGATTGTTGAGACGATATTAACAAGTATCCTCTCACCTGCATATAAGTACTATTTGACCTGTAAGAAAAGAACATGTAGTTGTTGTGGACAGCTGAATCCGTTATCACCGGACTCGGCGATAACCCCCGTGAACGGATCAGGTACCAGCCCCCGTCGGGACTCCGCCTTTTCCCCTCACGAGTCATTCTCTCCTCCAACTCTCCCTCTTCCCTACACTCATACAATCTACTACATTTACAACATGACCAGGAAGTACAGCTCGACTCAAGGCCTCGATATGCCATGGGCTTCACAAATGTCCGCCCAGCTGCCCAGTCCGTTCATTCCTGTACCTGCAGCACAGCCAGTCCAAGCTCAGGAACCGATCGCCGATGAACCTGTCCGACCCGAGGATTACTCCAAGCCCTACTGCGAGTTCATGACATCCAATCCCACGATATTTCACGCCGTTAAATCCTTCTCCAATCAGCTCGAAGAGCATGGCTACAAGCACCTCTCCGAACGAGCGGTGTGGACATCGGAGCTGAAACGAGGCGGCAAGTTCTACACTTCCCGCAACGGCAGCTCTTTGATCGCTTTCAACATTGGCTCCAAATACGAGAGCGGTAACGGCGTGGCTATCGTTGCTGGCCACGTCGATGCTTTGACTGCCAAGCTGAAGCCCGTGTCTAAGCTACCGAACAAAGCAGGCTTCCAGCAGCTCGGCGTTGCCCCGTATGCCGGTGGCCTTGGTAATACTTGGTGGGATCGTGATCTTGGTATTGGTGGTCGCGTGCTCGTTCGCGATCCGAAGACTGGCAAGGTGGAGAATAAGCTGGTCAAACTTGACTGGCCTATTGCCCGTGTGCCTACCCTCGCTCCCCATTTCGGAACACCTGCGAATGGCCCCTTCAACCAGGAAACCCAAATGGTGCCTGTTATCGGAATTGATAACTCTGATTTGTTTGAAGACTCGAAGATTGAGTCCAGCGACATCAAGTTCGGGACGTTTACCTCGACCCAGCCTGAGAAGCTTGTGAAGATCATCTCCAAGGAGCTTGGCATCACAGACTACAGCACTATTGTCAACTGGGAATTGGAATTGTTTGATACTCAGCCCGCCCAACTAGGAGGTCTGGAGAAGGACATGATCTTCGCCGGTCGCATTGACGACAAGCTCTGCTGCTATGCTGCACAGGAAGCCCTCATTGCTTCCTCCGACAGCACATCGACCGGAACCGTGAAGATGGTTGGTATGTTCGACGATGAAGAGATTGGCAGTTTGCTCCGACAGGGTGCTCGGTCGAACTTTATGAGCAGCGTCATTGAACGGATTACCGAGGCCTTCGCGAAGGACAACTACGGCCCCAACCTCCTTTCTCAGACAGTGGCCAACAGCTTCTTGGTGTCATCAGATGTCATTCACGCAGTGAACCCGAACTTCCTCAATGTCTACCTGGAAAACCACGCGCCCCGCCTTAACGTTGGCGTGACAGTGTCTGCCGACTCCAACGGACACATGACTACCGACAGCGTCAGTGAGGGCCTCATTAGACGAGTTGCCGAGCGCTGTGGGTCAACCCTGCAGGTCTTCCAGATTCGCAATGACTCTCGCAGCGGTGGCACTATTGGGCCCATGACCAGTGCCCAGATCGGCATGAGGGCGATTGACTGCGGTATCCCGCAGCTGAGCATGCACAGTATTCGGGCGACTACTGGCAGCTTGGACCCCGGACTGGGTGTCAAATTGTTCAAGGGATTCTTCGACTACTATGAAGAAGTCGATAAGGAGTTCGCCGACTTTTAAATTGGTAATTCCGCGCTTTGTTTTAGACAGTTAGAGCCTTTTCTCCTTTGTGCATTCCTGTTCTAGGCGTATCGTCACGTTATTCTATGATTGGGGTGTGTATTAGACTACAAGAAGTGGCTTCATTCTGTGACTACATGCATTGCTCTCGGTAATAGGTTATCTTTTTGATTCGATTGCTGTACCTCAACGAACTATATATCCAAGAATTTCCAAACATACATTCCACATTACTATATTTTTAAAATGACATAAGAAAAAAATGAATGTCCCACGGGTGTTTCCCCCATGGGGTAAATCAAGGCCCGACAACCGCCAGGCTCAAAGAGCGTGGTGCAACATTGACAAGGACCAAAAAACAAATCTGACGGGTATATCACATCATACTCCAAGCCACCAATGTGACTGCACGAGCCATTCAAAAACCAAATGCGTGTCTATAAATCAGACCTTCAAAACGGCACCGCCAAATCGGCAGGCAAAGGACGAGGATGCGTCAGCGTATTGGGACGACTCAGAGGCCGAGGAGCCGAGATAATCCGAGTCAATTTCTTATCTTCCTCTCTCGTCCAGCGCTTAATGCTAGATCTGAAGCTAGTCCTAGGAACAAGAGCGAGAACGCGCTCCGGGTCACCGGCGCCGTACTCGTGTTCTTCGCCGGGGGCGCCGAGGGTTGATGCATCACAGTTCCAGTCGGAGTTGCGCCGGGTTGTATCGCCGCGGGCGGGGCGGCTGGCATTGAAGGTCGATACCATGCCTGGGAAGATACGGGCGACGAGGGGTTTTAGGGTTGGTAAGCAGGCGCATATTATGCCTGTGTTGCATTCTATGGCGGACCAGGAGGCGGCGCCGACGTTGTCGTCTAGTTTGTGGGGTTAGCTTGGTTTTTGGATGATAGGGCTAAGCGTACGATACGTACAGGTGGGATCGGATGATTCGGCGATTTGTTTCAGGCTGACTAGACGGATGATACTGGTGACGCAGACACTAGTTGATGTTATGTTAGTCGTGGGACAAGATGTTTGAAACAGGGTAACTCACAAGCCACCCAGGGCGAACATGATCATTAAAGCGACCTTTTGTTTTCGAGGTAAGTCGACTGCCATTAGAGCCGGGATGGGAATGATCAGGATAGCAATATCGGTTGAGATATGCATACTAGCATTGGAGAACCACAGGTTGGTCTTGTTCAAACAGAAACCTTGTATTGAATCGTCCCAGAATTTGGCCACGGGAATGCAGTTGAGGAATGCACTGATCACCGCCCATGTGCCATAGACGGCGAGGATGGTGATCATGATCCAACATACGACGCGCATGCGGTGCGTGGGGAAGACTCGGAAGTACTGCATCAGAATTGAGGCTTTGGCGCAGAGGACGGCGGCGTTGTAGAAAGGAATGGTGAGCCAGAAAGCCTATTCGGATTGTTGTTAGATGCAGTTGATAGCTAATGACCTGGCTTAGGGCAAGCTCACCTTCATCTGTCTCTCGAAAATATTTGGTGGGATATCTTTGAAATGCACTCCCATGCCACTGACGGCTTCGATAATGTCGAGGCCCATGAAGACATATGAATTCACCTATGCATCTGCATCAGTATCTGGAGTTCTTCGATATCAGCACCAATCAACCAACCCACCAGTGCGATAATGACCATCCAGTCATTTGCTTCCACTCGGTTCATAAGTTTCATACGAGTATACATCCTCATCATCACGAAGCAGGTTGCCAAGACCGTGAACACAACGCTTATAATCAAGCCCTGCTCGCCTCGGGAGGACATAAGTATGCCGTCATTATCTCGCCTGAAGATCGCATCTCGAATGTACAGCAGATTCATTGTCAAGCGATCTTGTGGCTTTAGAAAAACAAAGGAATGGCTACTCCTCAAAGAGAAGATTGCCCGGGGGACAGTCTAACGATCCGATCAATAAGACGATCCTGATCTGATTAACGGTTAAGATAGGGCATAAAGGAGCGGTAAGAGAACAACCTCTCCACCAAGAAGCGAAAAGTCAGAGAGGATATCGCTGTATTATAATCCAAAGCGCATAAAGCTGATGCGCAGCGTCGCCATAAACAACCTTATGCAGCCCCAGAAACCAAACGGCCTAGGAAAAAATCCACTATCCCTTTTTGAGAGAGACACTTAAGGGACATCCATTGTATCCCTCCTCGCTCCTCGGATGTACGGGCAAGTGCTTCTGACGCGAGACAGCATCCCCGTCTGGGAAGCGTGTTTGCAGCAGCATGCAGCGCAAGGGGCGCATACAACGAATCGGGTCCAGCGTTGGCCCCGATGGACTCGATATGTACATCTGTACTCCGTACTAATTAGAACACTATGATATTTCTTTGTTGTTTTTTTCGCTTTTCTCTTCTTTCCCTCTTCTTCCCTCCTTGAACCTGGTGGCTGCAGTTTACACGGGAACAAATTATAGTTTGCAGGGTCTTTTGATATATCAATTTCCCACACCTTATTTTGAGACCACAGAAACATTTACCCCTTCCGTCTCACTGGCTCTGAATGGCAATAATTTCAATTTACTCCTGTCGATCGCCCATAGACAATCCGCTCTACCAATCAGATCGAGACTGCACTACGTATAGGCTATTCTCGCTTTCTAATTTGACGCGCGGCAGACTATACTTCCACGGATTATCATTCGGTTCCAAGTTGCTGGGATGCTGTGTATATATGCTACGTACATATAATAGTTGAAGCAATTCCAAATCACTTTGAAATGACATGATGCAATATTTGCATTCGGTGTTTATTGTAGATAGCTCGGAGGTCATCTCATTTGAGATCCGATCATCTCCGACGGTGACACTGAAGAAGCATGTATAACAATTGACGGCCTGAGACTGCGCTGTCCCGGAGCCAGCTAGCCCTACCTGCCCATGGAATCTCTCACTGCAGTTGGCCTACATGTGGAAAGCTGCTCGGCCTTAGGGACCAATGTGAGCTTAAATTTGTCAGACCTATTGGTTACTGGCTCCTAAATCGTGGTCATGTGCGCCACTCAGCCCCCAGTCCTGAACTGCCAGGCAATCACGAATATGATCGGTAAAAGCCAGGGACTAAAGGAAATCAAGACATTCTTGATTGATCAGAGCACGACCTTTGTATGAATACTCTATACAGGAGCTGATCAACTTTCATCGACTTTTACCCCTCTCGTTCTGCAGCACTATCTCGTTACCTTGGAGATTTGAGGAATGGTTAGAAGAAGGTTTGGTCTGTCTTAATAGTTGACCGAGAAACGAACAACCCACTGTAGACACTGTCTTATTTTGCATGTCAGGGCAATATTAAGCTCATCTTGATGTGTAAGGGGCGCTCCATTTATTGCCACTAAACTACTCCGTATGTAACAGATCTACCCGCAGCTAGAATAGCAGAGTGTTCAATTAAATATTGAATCGAGATGCGGGGGAGAGAGAGTAAATCTCCTATTTGTTGGAACATCCAGCCACCTCATTCGATAATGGCGGAGGTCTTGTAAGGGATAACCATCTACGATTGACGCGGATATCCGCTCCCGAAAAGCTTCGTTTGCTACTAATATCAGGATCTGTTCAGTTCATGCGACCTACTAATTGGATATTGTTAATGTTTCTCATACGAAGACCTTCGGTCTCAGGATGATTTTGTGGCCTTGACTATTCGCGTCCCACAACATCCAAAGCTGCTAACCACGCAATCCAACTCATGGCAATGCGTCGAATTTTGGAAGAATTCAAGAAAAAGTAATTAACAGTTACGCAATGTGGACTTTTTGCCAACGGCGTGTGGCCAAACAAGACCCCTGCCAAGGTGGTGTTGTAAGTTGACGTGTCACATACGACTATTAGGGCTAAGTATTCGTCTGGGCACAGACATCAGTAACTTACCCTCTGCCGCAGCATGGAAGAACATGGCTTTGCATTTCTACTGCCGCAATTTAAATCCTGTAGTGGAACGCTCATATACGCAATACTTCTTGTCAATATGTAGGGCGTTAGGTTCTTGACTTGCGTTGCATGCAGGTTGCCTTGCTTGCCGAGTTGTCATGGCAGCTTGGGACTTGAATCTTGCATTAATATGAAATAAAATCTAGTTTCTAGTCTAATTTGAGGACTTGCAATTGATGCGTAGAACATTGTCGATCTGCTAGGGAGGAGCTAATTGGAGCTATAAAACGGTTACAGAGTACTTTGTCGCAATTTTGAGCAATTTGATACGCCAAGACGGCTCTATACTTACGACCCAGTCAACGATGTCATGGGATAGGGTGCATCTCCTTACCACCTCTTCATCTCTGGTCATTCATCTTACTGCAGCTAGCCGGATTCAAATTAGGATCTGGGCAGCTTGATTGGACTGGATTTCACGTGTGTTGACCGCTATCTCTCGTGGTTCTGAGTCTACAACCCTCTTATACGCAATATTGCGCATTGCTCGAGTAGCTTGGTAGGAATCTGCCAAATTGACACCTAGCCAACTTCTTGCATACCATAAGCCGAAAATCTTCTTCAATTACTGTGGGCTGTGCAAGCTACTTGGCAATATGTTAGCTCCGTGTTCTAGATCAAGCCACTGCTAGTTAAATGCGAGAAGCAATCGTATTTCCTTACAGTCTGCAGCAACTCTCTTTGCCATTGTCTGATTTCTAATTTCTTTTTTCTACAAGGACCTTCCGGATTTTGGTTGGGTCTGCAGGTTGAAACATGCAACGTCCCTATTATAGAGAATATCAAATTTGAGAGACATACCTAATACAATTTAAAGTACTAATCTTAGAACTTATATTGAAGCTGTTTGCATAGAACCCCCGGACATGGTTTCTTTGCTGTACCTTTTATGAAACGACCATGCTGCAAGAGACAAACAAATTGACTTGGCCCTCGAAGATATTTTGTGCTTACTGTTTGGAGATACTATTTACTCGGCCTGGGAGGAAACGGCAACCTATTGGCCTAGTTTCCAACATGTGCTGGTCTCAACATGGCGGTAACTGGGTATGCCCCGACTGAAGAAAGGAAGAACTCCTGCTTCTGCTGAGACCTAGAATGATCTGCTTCTGGATATTGACCTCTGTTATGGCCATAAAATCTCGTCATTGAATCGGAATTGTGTAGGCGCATCTTAAGTCTCGTGGAAAATCGCTTGGCAACATCAGCATTTTGGTCTCCGTTTTGACTGGCCTGCCTTCAACTGAAGATAAAATGTTCGATACAATGATCTGAGTCCCAAATAACTAGAGAATGAATGTATTGTCTAATTGCTTGTTGGAGACGAAAGTGCAGTAGATTTGGATAGGCGATAAGATAGACCGATAAGGACGCACAGGCCATCGTTCACAGAGAAATTTCCTTTCCACAACTCGGCCAATTCTTTCAAGTCGCCAACGACCTCCTCTTTTCTCATTGTCGATCGGTGGAAATAGTCCTAATACACAGGACAAAATGGCAGGCACTACTGCCGAATCCACCAAGGCCGTCCACACAATCGTGCTGGACGCTGGCCCGATTCTCAAGAATACCCCGCCGCTTTCAACCCTCCTTGCCCAGTGCGACGAAATTATCACCACCCCCTCCGTGGTGGCCGAGATCCGCGATCCCGATGCCCGCGCACGTGTCGAGACCCTATACCTGCCTTTCTTGAAGCAGCGATCCCCCACACCCAAGAGCTTCAATATCATCAGCGAATTTGCTCGCAAGACCGGTGACCGTTCTGTCCTGAGTAGAACAGATATTGAGGTCCTCGCCCTTGCGTACGAAATTGAGTGCGAAAAGAATGAAGGAGACTGGCGGTTAAGAAGTGTTCCTGGACAGAAGAGAATCAATGGAAAGCCGCCTGTTAAGGAGGAATCCGAGGAGGCCAAGCCCGAGGATGCGGAGGTAGAAGCCATCACAGATGGAGTGAAGGAGACCACAGTTGCAGACGTCCAGGAAGAGACCCCAAAGGAGGAAGAAACCGCTGCAGCGAACGAGGCTGATGAAGTCGCCGAGATTGCGGCCGTGATCGTCGAAGAAGAAGACGAGCACGAAGATCAGGATGCAGAGGATGATGCTGACGACGGAGAATGGATCACGCCCTCTAACTATAAAAAGCGTCTTGCTGAGGATGAGTCGGGAACATCGACTCTTACTGCTGCGCCCAAGACAATGCAGGTTGCGACTATGACTACTGATTTCGCCGTAAGTACATCCCACACAACATCCGTTTATTGCCCAATTGCTTATTCTGTATAGTGTCAAAACGTTCTCCTGCAAATGAACCTCAACCTTCTGTCTACCACCACCCTCCAGAAGATCCAGCATCTCAGAACCTTCATCAAGCGTTGCCACGCTTGCTTCCTGACCACTAAGGAGATGAACAAGCAGTTCTGTCCTCGCTGTGGCAAGGATACTCTCACTCGTGTCTCATGCACCACCACTGCCAACGGCGCATTCACAATGCACCTGAAGAAGAACATGCAGTGGAACAAGCGCGGCAATGTATACAGCGTTCCCAAGCCAATTGCAGGCAGCTCGAACGGCAAGTGGAAGGGCGGCGGTGGCCAGCGAGGATGGGGTACCGAGCTCGTCCTTGCCGAAGATCAGAAGGAGTATGTCCGCGCCAACCAGGAAGAAGAGCGGCGGCAGCGTCGCGAGCGTGATCTCATGGACCAAGACTACCTGCCCGGTATCTTGACCGGTGAGCGCAACAGGGCTGGTGGCCGTACCAAGGTCGGTGCTGGCCGCAATGTCAACTCGAAGAAGCGCTAAATGTGCTGCGTGTATGATTTTGCATCTTGATTATATGGGCTGGAGTTTTGGGGCATGGAAAGAAAAAGTTCACTTGGTCAATGCCGCTGTCATAGTGGTTGTCGGCCTTTTTATGAGGAATGACCATGTCTTGTGATTTACGGTTGAACATAGAATATATAGCCAATCCATAGGGCTCTTTATGAACATTTTAACAAAATCTTTGTTGATTACCTAGATCAGGTATAATATTCTCTAGAATGTCTAGATGAAGCCTCGGATAGGTTATCCAAGGATAGCAAAACAAGTATGGACATCTCAGCCATCCATTGACCACAAGAAAAACACCATTCGCCAAAACATGGGCTATACCACCCGGTAATTCATTTTCCCCAGTATCGATCAATTTAAGCCTTAACAGGAGTGTCTGGACGATAACATATTAGTTTGCAGTTCTGCGAAGGCGTAATTCTTGAAGAAGACGTACCGGGCTGCTGGGTGAGGAGAAGGTTGTAACGCTTCTTCAGGGTGACACGGTGACTGAGAAAGAGGTTAGTTTCCATGCTTCAATTGTGCGCCATGCAGAACAAATAGCTACTTACCGAGAGTACTTGTCATCGGGGGAGAAGCGAGCGGGGTGGGCAGACTTGGTGACCTCGCCGTTCATGACCTATAATTGCCAAAAAATTAGAATCATTGGCCAAAGTTAAACAGTGGCCCGAGGAGCCAAATGTGCGCTGAAAGGCGGCGGTCTCCTCGGCGCAAAGATTTCCGTACCTTCTTCAAGGTGTAAACACGCTTGCCAGCGGGGTCGAGGGTGTACTGTTCGTCACAAAATTAGTGGCCGATCTCCGAACGGAGCTGAAGATTCGCTCGCTTCGATCGCCTCGAAGTCGCAATGAGACATACCATAAGATGCATTCTGAAGAGAGCAATATTAGCACATGAGCAATGAAGACCACTTGGAACACGAATTATCAACTTACTTGACGGTATTGATGAATTGTCCTGTGTTAGTACTTGCGTCGGCGATAAGTGGAGGAATTTTTTTCTCGACGATGAAGAGCTCGGACCACTCTGCTTAGTCACGGGGTGCTTTTTAAACGGAGCGTTCGACCGCAAAATTTCCTTTTTCTCTCGCACTTGAGCAGAAAAGAGAATAATCTCTCTAGAATTACCTTTGAGCTCTGTTAATGTGCAGAGCCATGGTGATTCTTTACTAATTGGCACTTGATTCAGGTTGTTCATACATACAGAGACTTCTAGGTAAGATGATCCTCAGCTCTTCTACACTCCAGCACATCCTTCACCTTCGGTGATGACACCATTTATTTAGCTCAGGCAGGCGGCACTTTTGATTTCTAGTTGCCTGTCGATGATCCGCTGAATTGACTACAACGGTATCTGAGAAGATATTACCATGACGATTGATTCACTCGAATGTTTCGGCACAGTTCGCTAACCTCGAATTTTGTGTCTAGAACTTTGAATATTTTCTTCCAGTAGCGGTTTCCGGGATGGCCACTCCAGTAACCAGCATGGACAAGCCTGTGGCTATCGAGTCAGGGCCTGCATCAGATGCACGTCCGCCTCGGGCACCTCGACCTCCTAGGCCAAACTTCAGACAGATTCACCAGTTTCCTCTTCCGGTCAATGTACATCATGTTCCTCCTGTAATTCCTCATAACCCTCTTTCTCTTATAAGTGTTGCTCTCTCGTACCTCACATTCCTTATCTCCCCGCCCCGTCAAGAAGTCTACTCGGCCTACTTCGACAAAGCCACCTCCTCTATCCATGTCACGGATGAGAGGTCCATTAATGCCTTATGGCAGATGGGATTCTTCGGCAAGGGTAGTCTCAGTCGAAGTGAACCCAGCTGGCTGGCGCGAGAGAAAAAACGAAGAGGGTTACATAATGGGAAGACCAGCGAGGAAATGACAAGACTGCGACGAACAGAACGTCGTGAACTGAAGCTAGAGCGTGCCCGGATGGAGAAGCTGGCCATTGAGGAAAGACTCAAAGCGGAGGCGGCTGCTAGGGAATCTGCTCCTTCTGAGCCTCTTGACCAAGGTCCCCAATCAACAACCACAGACGATACGACTAATGGCACAGCGGCTGCAACGGAGAAGTTCTCCTTGAAGAAGGCAAAAGAAGTTCGGGCACTGGAGGCACGGCAGGCGCGGGAATTGGCTGCGCAAAATGAGACTCTCGCTGAACAGAACCAACGCGAGACTTCGTCTAACAGCAAATCCGTGCGCTTCTCACCCATCGTACAAAAGAAAGAATTCCTATCCAACTCGCCCTCGTCACTACAGTTGCCTGACTCCGCCGTCGACAGCCTCGATTTAGATGATTTCGCAAATGAGGAGCATCTTCAACTCTCCAACGAAGAGGCGTTCTTCCTTGTCTACTCGCTTGGAGCATTGCAAATCTACGATTCACCCTTGAAATCGGGGGAAGTCCAACCAACCTCGCCAACCACCACCTCTGCCCTCCTCCGACAGTTCTGCCACCACTCCTTCCAACCCGCTCGTGACGGCTCCGCATCCCTCCAACCCGATGATCCCTTCCTGATCTCCTACACCGTCTACCACCACTTCCGGTCCCTCGGGTGGGTTATCCGCTCCGGTGTCAAATTCGGAACCGATTACCTGCTCTACAACCGCGGACCGGTCTTCTCCCACGCCGAGTTTGCAGTCATCGTCATTCCTTCCTACAATCACCCCTACTGGTCCGAGACGGAAGAACTGAAGAACTACACAGCAGAGAAGCAGGCGAGGAGTTGGTGGTGGATGCACTGCGTCAGCCGTGTACAGGCCCAGGTGTTGAAGAGCTTGGTCGTCTGCTATGTCGAAGTTCCTCCGCCAGCTGCTTCGGTTGATGATATTGGGGCGCTGTTTGGTCAATACAAGGTGCGCGAGTTCCTCGTCAAGAGATGGATTCCGAACCGCACTCGTGATTGATTATCTTAGTTTCTTCTTGGGTTTGTCCCGTCGAGGCTGGGGATGTTTAGGGCTTCAGATACCCTCTTTGTAAATATGCTGTATTGTCCATGACTTCACAAATGTATTATGATTGCATAATGACCCATGAAATTGTGTCTCATCCCAGATTATTTCCAAGCCAATTAGTAAACTATGTAGTTCAAATAATCAGAGCACATCGCCGTTGAGAGTGAGTGTCTATGGTACTCTCTCATGGCGCTAGTCCATAAATGGTAATATTACTTCAAGACACGTGATACGCGTTTCGCGTTCTGACGCCTCCATTTGCATTTGCATTTATGTAACGCATTCGAAGTGTCAAGCTGCGTTAAAACAAAATATACGAATACGACTCCCGTATCAAGACGTACTAGACTTCCCTGACCGTATGTCGTCAAAATGGAAACCCAGGACGATAGCATCGACCTTGCAAAGTTGCAACGCGACGCGTTGGGGCTAGTATGTAACGACCCTGCAGCGTCCCTCTCATTGGACTAACTCCGACATCCCCAGGAGCACGATCCGTACCTTTCCAGATCTACACAAAAAGGCAACGAGCCGAATCACACTCTTTGTTACACATCCCACAAAGTCAACGGTGCTTCCTATGGTGACGGAGTGTGCAACGGCCAACAGTTACCTCCGAAAACACCATCCAACCCAGCGAGCCTTGTGCACCAACACCGACCCTCTTTGTATCGACCTCGGCAGCATGAACCACGCACAATGATGTTCAATAAAAGTGGCAATGAAGCGGGCATTGTACCAGGATCGCAACTCGGCAACATGAGCTCTGCTCCCGGGGATACCCAGGTCATCTCTCAGTCAGTGTACGACAAGATTATCAGACAAAATGGGGAGTCCATGCAACAAGATTATACACAAACGGGAGCCGATGGAGCGACATTGAGAACACTGTATGAGGGGGACAGTGGCCATATCGACCTGCTTTCCGAACTGGACACCGTGCACCACGGAACGAACCTTTCCCAAGATGACGATGACAACGACGACGGGAGCAATTCCGACCCGAACGAGTCTTCTCCAATGGCTTATGCACCCAATTTATTCCCCGAATCGCAACGGTTCCTAGCAGAAACACCTGGAACAGTGGTGAGACAAAATGAGACGAAGGGTGGGACAGCAGAGACCCCGAGCATCTCGCGGAATCCACTGGCTAGTGGCATCGAGTCAAGTGGTGGTCTTCTTGGGCTGAGCCAGGTTTTCGGAGCTACCCAGGCCCCGTCGTCTCCCATTGTCCACGGCCTGCAGACGGAGCTTGTATCGGATCGCCCGTCGCCCAATATCCCAATTCAACCCGCTCGTGTTGTCAATGGTATCTCGTCGCCTTTGATGGGCTTGCCGGTTCAGTTCACGAGAGACTCATCCGAACCGAATATGAACTATATATCGATGAAGGAATCGCAGAAAAGGCGCGATAAGACTTTGGGGGAGAGGTTGACTCGGTCGGCCGACAATATCCAGTCGGACCAGAGTGACAAGGAATTCTATAAAGAGTCGAGCTTTATAGAACGTGCACGACGACAGCGAGAGATTGACGAGGAAGCTGCGGCTCAATTCGCCGGGTTGAGTGCTCCTGCCAGATCTACATCCAATCTCTCCGCCAGACTACGGACTCCCTCCGAGCAGCCTGGTGAACAACAAGACCAGGAAATGATAGAAGCTGTTGCCAGCGAGGAAGAAACGGAACAAGAGGAAGATATGCAAGTGCCCAGGTCACAAGAGCCTCCTCAATCTTCAGCCGAAGAAGATAAAGAGAACTACGAGGGGCCTCCTCTGGATACTGCTGCTGCCGCCGCCGCCGCTGCCAGTGCCCACGATCGACTATCTCAGGTACTTGGGTTTGAGCCGATTCTCTCCCCATCTCGCATGCGAGTAGACGAGCAACCCGATGATGGCATAGCTCATGGAGGCTCTGGTAGTCAGCCGAACGGTGCTACGAGTTCTTCCCAGGCTATGGTGAAAGACTCTCAACCATCACCTCAGTCATCGGCAAAACTCATAGAACCCGAAATTACTAGGAAAATTACTCATCGGTCGCCTTCGCGTTCGCATATGAATTCTCCTACTCGAGACCTTCCCTCCTCTCCCTGCTCGCGACCACAATCAAGACATTCGAACAGCAATACTCAGAGAAATGGCTCCGTATCAAATGAATATGCCATCCAACATGTTCAGACTACGACTCTTAACGAGAATATACCAACATACTCTAGCAACCCCTCGGAGCAGCAACATGTAAACTCATCGCATTCCAGGGTGGAAGCGGGAACTTCGGGCAACTCATCATCGATGCCATCCCGTGTGGCTGAGACACCTATGAATCAACGTCTTAAGCATCTCGGTGACATGGCGAGATTGACGAGTATCCCAGAAACAAGTCCCAGTCACTCCCAGTGCAATTCCGAGGCTGGGTCCAATGGCGATGGACTCAATAACGAAGACGACGATCTTCCACCTATGTTGTTCAATGAAGTCCCCAGTATTCGAAATAATCATATCCGCCCAGCCGGGGCAAGGGCACTCTCTTCGCCTCTCAAAAAGCTGTTGTCCAGTCCGGGCGGAGGCCAACGCAGGGCTTTGACAGAAATTGCGGGAGATCTTTCCCCGCAGGTCGGGGCTGGAGGATTTGATATGGGTATTGGAATTTTCACTGCTGAGGATCGAGAATTCAAAGCCCTGATTGATGGATCGCCGACTCGACCGAAGAAAAAACGGCGTGGCAACGATGGCTCGAGTTACATTGCCTCCGACCCTATCATACCTTTCACCCCTCGCACACAGCCCCCAAAATCCGTTGCACCTATTCGAGCAACACAAGAACGACCGGCTCCCATTCCTGAAGTTCCAGATTCGGATGATGTGCCTTTAGTGCAACTCCCCGAAAAAGCCGTACGAAGGCAATCAAAGCCCCCG